ACTTGTGAAATCTGGGCTTGACTTATGACTTACTTAAACTTAGTCTCAAAAAAAAAAAAAAAAAAAAGAAAAGAAAAGAAAAGAAAGAGAGGACTTATTCCAGAGGTCGTCCAGAGGAGAAGTGTGTCAATCATTTGTCAAATCTCACACTGCTGTTAAGATACTACCTGAGGCCGGGTGTGGTGGCTCACACCTGTAATCCCAGCACTTTGGAGGCCAAGGCAGACGGATCACCTGAGGTCAGGAGTTTGAGACCTCCCTGGCAAACACGGTCAGACTCCATCGCTACTAAAAATATAAAAAATTAGCCAGGCTTAGTGGCGCGCACCTGCAATCCCAGCTACTCGGGAGACTGAGGCAGGAGAATTGTTTGAACCCAGGAGGTGGAGGTTGCAGTGAGCCAAGATTGTGCCATTGCACTCCAGCCTGGGAAAAAAGAGCCAAAACTCTGTCTAAAAAAAAAAAAAATCATGGCAGAAGGTGAAGTCTATGTTAGTCCCAGTTCCCAGGTCTTACATGGCAGCAGCAGAAAGCGAGAGAGAGAAGGGGAAACTGCCACTTTTAAACCATCCGGTCTCCTGAGCACTCACTATTATGAGAACAGCCTGGAGGAAACTGACCCCATGATCCAATCACCTCCCTCCAGGTCCCTCCCTCCCTCCACACGCGGGGATTACAATTCGAGGTGAGACTTGGGTGGGACACAGAGACGCGCCGTATCAGCACGTATGGGGGGCACTGAAACTTGTGGTGCCCATTCATTCCACAAGCCTGTGTGGCTGGTCTCCTCGTCTTCCACTCCCTGCCGGGTCTCAGACGGGCAGCCCGCGGTTCCTTCACCCGAACAGGCACACGGGGCTGGGTGCCAGTGAGTGCTGGGGCTTCTCCGAGCACTAGCTCGCACCCACGAGCATGGGCACGCAGGGCATCGCCTGTGCCGTCCGTGGACATGAAACCCAACCGTGCGCGGTCACGCAGCGCCAGCTTCCTCCTGGGGCCTTCTGGGGCACGGGGGCTGGGGCCGCCTGAGACTAGCATCCCTCACGCTGGGCTGACCCCGCAGAACTGTGCGGGCCTCGCTCTTGGGGTCCGCCCTGCTGCCAGACAGTGCCGGGTGCTGGGGACTCAGGGAGGCCGCCGGGGCCAGTGCAGGGACAGTGACCCGAGCAGAAGCTGGACAGAGCAGGAGAGGAAGGAGAGGAGGCGGTCAGGGCTCTCAGGAACCGGGTCCTGGGCAAGGGGCAGCCATTTTCAAATTTTCAGGAAAGCGGTCAGCTCACACTTGAGCAGTACAAAGATGCCTCTGGGGACGAGGCCCGTGCAGCTCTCCGGGCAACGGTGGTGGCTCGGCCTAGAGAGGCGGTAGTGGAACGGAGACCCTGGTGGGGGATGACATCAAGGGAGGAGACGGGCGGAACCCCAGATTTCTGCTGCCTGTGGGCGATGGGAGTGAGGTTCACTGGGCAGGGCAGCCGCACACAGAACGCGCGAACGGCCCCGTAGGCCTGGAGGAGCCGAAGAGCAGGCGGACCCCCTCCGCGGTGGAACAGTTTCCGCCGGGAGCACAAAGCAGCGGACCGGAAGTGGGGGCGGAAGTGCAGTGGGATCAGCGGCGATGCGCGCCTCTGCCCGCGAAGTCTGAACTGGCTGATAGCTGGGGACGCCGTGGCGGCGCTCGACTGCAGTCGGTTGAGTTCCTGAGGGCCCCCGGTTCTGGAAGGTTCGCCCCAGAGACAAGTGAGCAGTGAGTCGCAGTGACTCTGTAAGTGGTTTACTCGAGCGGCTCGTGGGCTCCTTGCGGTTTTCGAAACTACAGCTCCCGGCAGGCCCCGTGCCGCTCTCGGGGCCGCGGGTCGGCGGATTGGCCGCGCTGCATTTTGGGACCTGTAGTTTCCTGCGCTCGTGGGCGCTGGCTGAGCCGATGGCCGGGGCTGGAGGGAAGGGCCGATATTCCGTGTGTCCGCGTCTGATCTGTTAGTCCCAGTTCCCAAGCGGGACTGAGGCTTAGAGAAGTTGAGTGACTTGCTGAGGGCTGCACGGATTGGCATCCCGGGATACTCTTTCGCTACTTTGGCTGCATCTGGCTGCCCACCCAGGCGGGATGGGGAATGGCCTCCAGCCAGCCAGGAGGGCAGAGGGCTGGAGAGGCAGGCCCGGAGGTTCAGACCCTTCGCTCTGACGTTGTGCCTGGTCAGGCCGGGAGGGGTGCCGCTTGCCTCTCCAGCCCTCACGCTCTTGTGGAAGTTACGGAATTACTGCGGGCGGAACTTGCAGCGCTGTGGGCGTCTCTGCCAGGGAAGGACGGAGTTGTGGGGCGGGAGGATAAGGCAAGGCCCCGCCATTTCGCATCTTTGCCCCGCCAGCTCCTTGAGATGGCATATGCCAGGGTTGCCCTCCGACCCTCTCCACAGGAGGGACTTACAGAAATGCCTGGGAAAGTGGCCCGGTACCCACAAAGGCTGTCTACAGAGTCTTACTGTCTTTCCCAGGTCTGTGCCATAGGGATTCTCCAAGAGAACCGTGTTGTGTCCCAGTGCACCTGCTCGCATCACTTACCAGGAGTGCCTGAGATCCTAAGATGTTCGGAGTGGTTTTTTCGCACAGACCCGAATAGCCTGCCCCTCAGCCACCCTCTGTGCCCTCCTGAGAAGAGGCTGATATGCCCAAGATAGTCCTGAATGGTGTGACCATAGACTTCCCATTCCAGCCCTACAAATGCCAACAGGAGTACATGACCAAGGTCCTGGAATGTCTGCAGCAGGTAGAGCACAGGCCGGGAGGAAAGGACTGCAGGCAGGTGGAGCTTCAGCTGGGGCTGGGTGTGCGTCCCTCTCCCGACCCATTCCAGCCAGGCCCCTCCAGAGGCAGCCTCTGTCATAAAAAGGGCTGGTGTTCCAGGTGGGGTCAGAGAGAGGACTGACAAGTAAAAACATCATCCTTGAGAGTGACAGACTTAGTGCCTTGGGGGCCTCTGAGGAGCGGCTGGTATTCACGGGTCAGGAGGAAGCATTTCCATCAGAGGGGCAGCCGGGGGCCAGCCTCACTTTGAAGGTTTTTGAACCTTGAGGGTGCAGGGAGGTGGCAGCGGCGCAGGTTGCCTTCTCCTGGGTTCCTTGAGGTGCCCTCTTGTACCCGGCTCACACCCCTCCCCTCCCCGAGTTTCCTGCTCAGGTTCCCATCTGAGAGCTCGTATGTAGGACATCAGATAGGACAGCGTAAAAACGCAGAACAGTTTCCTATTTTGAGACTTGACGCCTAATTAGTCATCTTACTATTTAGGCTGAAAAATACTGTCGCATTTCGGGTAACGTTCTGCAAATGGTCTGCTGATGGCAGCTGGAGTTGCTTCACGCCCTTTAGGGCAAGAGTGGAAAGTGTCCTGCGGACTTATCCATGGTCCCGTGGGGCTCTCGCCACCTGACAGCGGCCTCTGCATCTGCGAAGAGCTGCCCGCTGGCTGCTGAGGCTTGTCTCAGGGTGGTTTGTGTGGCCTCGCCTCTTCCTGGCTTCCCCGTAACCCTTGCCCCCAACTCCGTTCAGAAGGTGAACGGCATTCTGGAGAGCCCCACGGGCACAGGGAAGACGCTGTGCCTGCTGTGTACCACGCTGGCCTGGCGAGAACACCTCCGAGACACCATCTCTGCCCGCAAGATTGCCGAGAGGGTTCAAGGGGAGCTTTTCCCGAATCAGGCCTTGTCGTCCTGGGGCAACGCTGCTGCTGCTGCTGAAGATCCCATAGGTGACCCTAGTTCCCAGGCCTCCCCTGGCCTCCTGTGGGGATGGCTGGCAAGGGATGGCGCCGAGGGTAGGGTGGGCCCACGGGGACTTCTGCCAGCAGAGCTCAAGGAGAATTTTGTAGCTGCCACATAATTTCTCGCCATCGTGGGTATAAACCTAGGGTTGGGCTTTTTTGCTGAATTAGGGCATGGCAGATGTCCACTTCGCCCATTTGTGATAAACAAGTCTCTGGGGTGTCAGATCCTTGGCTGTCTGCAGGGCTGAGTTAGCCGAATGCCACCCGCCTTTGACACGTGAGAACCATGACCTCTGTGCTTGCTTGTGTCTGGGCAGCTTGCTACACGGATATCCCAAAGATCATTTACGCCTCCAGGACCCACTCGCAACTCACGCAGGTCATCAACGAGCTTCGGAACACCTCCTACCGGTGGGTCAGACGAGTTCACGCCTGTCTTGGGGTCCTCGAGAGAACCAGCTTGACGTGGTGCTGGGCCCACAGACCATGCTGTGCTGTAGTGGAGGGGGCGGTCTTTCCAGACGCTCCCCAGAAGTGTGCAGTGTGCTGGTGCCCAGGCGTGGGGCGGGGCCCGGGCTGTCTCTAGTGCCCATTACTTGTGAGGAGGCAGCTTTGCATTTGTGTGCTGACCTTGGGCTGGCGTCCTGAGCTCCTTTCAGGTGCTGTTGTGGCAGCTGTGCGGCAGGTCAGGGCCGGCCCCCAGTGCAGCTTTGCACATGAAGTGGGAGGAGGCCCTGCCGCTTGTCAGAGCCCTGCAGAGTCTTGGTGTTCAACAGGGTTCCTGTGGAGGGGCCGATGGCGGGGTGCTGTGGAAGCTGTCGAATCTCGTCCCTCTGTCCAGTTCCCCCGCTTGTCACCTTGCTCCCTCCTACTCCCGGGCCACGTTCCTATGCCGGGGCCACTCTCCTGCACCCGGACCACGCTCCTACGCCCAGGCCACTCTCCTACTCCCGGACCGCATTGCAGTTATGCTGACTTCCTCTGGCTGCCAGTGCTCCTGTGTGTCTCCATACGGCTCACGCTGCGGGACCACGCTGTGGCTGTTGGATGCAGCTCCTCCTCCACCCATAGTGCTCTCTCCCTCCAGGCCTAAGGTGTGTGTGCTGGGCTCCCGGGAGCAGCTGTGCATCCATCCAGAGGTGAAGAAACAAGAGAGTAACCACATGCAGGTGGGCTCCTGGCTCCCGCTCCGGCTCAGGGTTCCGCGAGGCGAGTGCTGCTGGGTATCCAGAGTCCCAGGCTGTGCTCCCGCTGGGCTGGGGTTCGAAGTTCACTGGGGGACTGCAGGGGAGGGCCTGGTGGGGGTGGGGACTGGCTCGGGTCCTTTCTTGGCCTTGCTCCAGCCGCGCACTCTGCCCTTTCTCCCACAGATCCACTTGTGCCGCAAGAAGGTGGCAAGTCGCTCCTGTCATTTCTACAACAACGTGGAAGGTACAGGCAGCTTGGTGGGACCAGGCTTGGGTTGGAGTGTGTGCAGCCTCTCAGGGCGTCAGCCTGGTTGTGCTTGCCGGGTGGGGCGGCCAGTGCAGCCGTGTACCTGGGCACTGTCTTCTGACTCGGGACCACCCGTGTTAGTCTTCTGTGTGGAAGAGCTCACACAGTGGTCTGAGACAGCCAGCCGGCAGGACTGCCTGTGGCTGGTGCCTGGGGCCTTGGATTTTGGGAAGGCTCCCTCCATTTCCGGACGAGAAGGGCTCCCTGCACCTGACTACTGGTGCATACAGCGGCGGTTTTGCTGAACACCTGCTTTGTCTTCAGGGAGCCTGAGGTTTTGTTGCTTGCCCAGCAGCGGGTGCTCCTGTGACCGGCCCTTGTACCATCTTGGGAGGGTGTCCTGGAAGCCGTGTCTGGCCTCCCCCGACCTTGCCGCATGTGTCTTTGTCCTGTGCTGACGTTGCAGAGAAAAATTACAGCCCCGAGCGTGACTCCAGGCTGAGTCCTGTGGGTCCGACACGGGAGGCCTTAGGGCCTCTTCAGGAGACGGGATGAGTGAGTGACGGGAGCAGAGCCAGGGCACCTCGCCCTGTGACTGCAGGTGGCCACAGCCTGTGAGGGCCAGGGGTGCTTCTCCACCCAAGTGGCTGCCCCTCGGGTATGTCAGGGGCTTCTGGGGCTCTTCACGGAGTCTCAGAGACAGTAGCAGGGTGCGCCCCCGTCGGCTGCCCTTACAGTTTCTGTGACCTGAGGGTGGCATCTGTGCAGTTGGCACGGCCTGAGCTTCTGTGGGATCAGAGTTCCCTTTGTTTCCTGCCTCAGTTGGGGCTCAAGCCTCAGGTGACGTGGCCCTGGAGCACCTAGAAGGCGTCGGCGGTCCTGCGGGCTGCTGTCTGCACTCATGTTTGCTGAGTGCTCAGTGTGCCAGGACTGAGGACCCTGAAGCTGCTGTTATATTTAGGACGGTGCTCCCCTGGCAGAGACGGAGCCGGGTGGTCCCGCCTGACCCACCACCAGGCGTTTCTGGGCCCTGGAGGGACAGGGTGGGCGGAACTTGGGCCTGCAGGGAGACCTCCGCTTACTGGAGGCTTGTGCTGTGTTGCTGGAGGCATCTTCTGTGTTGCTTCTTGTTTGCTGTGTCTTTTGTTCTGGTGGCACCAAGGACCTCCAGTCACCTTGATGTGTGGTTGTCCAGGCCTTTTTGGTGGTCCTGAGAAGGGGCTCTGAGGGGCTCTGCCTCTGCCGCCAGGTTCCCTGATGGAAGCTGCCCACTCGTCCTGGTGGTGCCCACAGGACGTGACTCTGGGACGGGAGAGCAGATGTGCTGTTGGAGATTCTCAGCCCGTCGTCATTTCCAAAGTCCTCACCCGCATTTCCGGGACAGGACAGGAGTGCCTGCTGGGTGTCCCCGGTCCCATGCAGCGGGGGTCCTTGGGATAGTGTGGAACGCTGAGTGTGGGCCTGTCCGGCGGTGGTCCTGGACAAGGGTAGCACCCCTGTGGCTGCCGGGCCTGGTGCCTGGTGCCTAGCGGGGAGGCCGCTGACCGCCTCCTGTGCTGCTTCCATCCGTGTCAGGCCTCTGGGTGTTGGGCCCCCATCTGTCTCCCCCCAGGCCTGTGAGATCAGTCCAAGAAGACTCAATCCAGCCCCAGCCTGTCCCCCTTGGCTTGGGCTCTCACTGCCCGACCTGGCAGGAGGTTGTCTAGCGGTGAACCTTTGCATCCTGTCTGCCCCCTGGACAGGCTCTGAGGGGGTGTCTGCAACACCTGTGCCAGCCTGGGCATCTTTTTTTTTTTTCTTTTGAGATGAAATCTCGCTCTGTCACCCAGGCTGGAGTGCAGGGGCATGATCTCAGCTCACTGCAAGCTCCACCTCCCGGGTTCACGCCATTCTCCTGCCTCAGCCTCCCGAGTAGTTGGGACTACAGGTGCCCGCCACCATGCCCGGCTAATTTTTTGTATATTTTTTTAGTAGAGATGGGATTTCACCATGTTAGCCAGGATGGTCTCGATGATCTGACCGCGTGATCCGCCCGCCTCGGCCTCCCAAAGTGCTGGGATTACAGGCTTGAGCCACCGCGCCCGGCCAGCCTGGGCATCTTTAGAGTGGGCTGCAGCTCCTGGAGGGGTCTGAGAGGAAGGAAGGCAGGTATTTTGTGAATGAAGAGACAGCTAGAGAGCTGGCACCCTTCCTGGCCTGCGTCCTGTGAGGACTGTGGTTGGGGACAGCAAGCTTGGGGTCAGCCTGGGGCAGAGCCTCTGGGAGGCCCCTGCCCCTTGTCCCCCTTCCCCTTGCAGCTCCTGTCCTCGCCCCGCCCTCAGCTCTCTGCCAGGGAAGGTTTGGCAAGTGCCGCTGTGCGGCAGTGCGTGCTGATTGGCTGGTCGTTGCTATGGTGCCGCTTAGGGATATGCTTTTCCTCCCCTGCCTTCCCTGCTATCCCTGGGAGCGTCTGGAGTTGAGTCATCGCTGGTGTGTGAGTGTGTGTGTGTGTGCCCGTGTGCGCTTCTGGCCTCTGCAGCTGAGTCCTGGCTCTCAGGGGGCCTGGCACCTCCCGGGGACGGGCACAAAGCAGCCATGATGGAGCCGGGAGCTGGGGAAGGCCCCATTGCCCCACGCGGCTGCCCTAAGACTCTGGGGTGCTTGTTGGAAGAGGTCCCTGCTTCTGTCTGTGTTTAAGCAGCTCCCTAAGGAGTTCTTGTGGTTCCAGTTTGGGGGCCTGTGCTGTGGAGGCGAGGAAGGGGCAGGATCCCCCAACTCCCTGAAGCCTTTTCTGCCCTGGTCCTCTCAGCCAGCATAGGCAGGGCCCTTTCCCAGGGCTGCCATGCTGCAGAGGGGAGCGGGCCACCATGTAGCCTAGGAAAACCTGACGTTCCTTTCGCTGGCAGTTCTGGGCCTGTTGTGGTTGGCAGGGAAGCTGAGCCATGGTGCTAATTACAGGGGCACCTCCAGGATTTTTGGGAGATGCCTCTGTGGGCTGGGGCGATACGCTGAGGGGCTGTTCTTCCCTGCCCTGAGGAGGGCTGAGTGTAGCCGTCACCCCTGTCCTGTCTTGGGCTGTCTCAGGGAGGATGCATAGAACCCTCGGAACCCTGCTGGCCCCTGTCTGATCCACCCTCAACCTCAGGCCTTCTAGGGGCACAGGAGGGCTCCGTCGGGATCACTTCGGGTGGGGGCCTCCCTTGGACACCTGAGACCCTCAATGGGTGCTTTGTGGCACGTTCATGATTGGGGCGGGGGGCACCCAGCCCTGCCTGCCGTGTAGGAGCTGTTCTGTCCTGGGCATCCCTCTGTGGTTGGGACCCGGAGGGTGTGTGTTTACCCCGCCTCACACCTGCAGAGAAAGGCCTGGAGCAGGAGCTGGCCAGCCCCATCCTGGACATCGAGGACTTGGTCAAGAGCGGAAGCAAGCACAGGTGAGACCCCTCAGTGAGGCCACGACCACTGTCCTTCCATGGCCCAGCTCTCCTGTGACCTGTGGAGGCCCAGATATGTTTCTTCCCTTTTCTTTGTTCCTTTCTAAGTCGTGAAACTAACCACCGTTTAGTGTGAGAAAGTTGAAGCAGCTCTGAGGGACGTAGAGTAAAAAGCAAAAACCGCCTCCCTCTTCCCTGGCCGTCAGCCACCCCAGGAGCCACCGTGGAGCGGGGACAGGGCCCTGCAGGCTCGTGTCTGTGTGGAAGCACGCATGGTTTTGTCTGCACAGACTGTTCTGCAGTTTGCTGTTTTCACTCAGCATTGTGGATAGCTTCCCATGCTGGTGCTGGTCGTCCGGCTTCGTTCTTCTGAGGACAGCAAATATGTCCTTTGTCCACCTCTTTTATAGTTTCAGAGATTTAAGTTATAATAAAGCTTTTCTTATATTGAGGGGGAGAGCTCCTGCCCCTCTTTTTTTTTTTGAGACAGAGTCTCGCTCTGCTGTCCAGGCTGGAGTGCAGCGTCATGATCTTGGCTCGCTGCACTCTCAACCTCCCAGGCTCAAGTGATTCTCTCAGCTCAGCCTCCCAAGTAGCTGGGACTGCAGGCATGCACCACCACGCCTGGTTAATTTTTGTATTTTTTGTACGGACAGGGTCTCACTCTGTTGCTCAGTCCAGTCTCGAACTCCTGAGCTCAAGAGTTCCACCCGCCTCGGCCTCCCAAAGTTCTGGGATTCCAGGCCAAGAGTTCCACCCGCCTCAGCCTCCCAAAGTTCTGGGATTCCAGGCGGGAGCCACCACGCCCGGCCCAGCTCTGCTTTGCTTTAGTGGTTCTGTGTTGTGTTTGTTTCTGATGACCTCTATCCAGGAATAGGGTTGGTTTTTCTTTTCCATCGAGTTTTTAAAGAGATGATGATTTACATGGTTTAAAACTCATGTGGACTCCCCGTCCATCCCAGACAGCGGCTTCCCACCTGGACCCCATGCTCAGGATTAGGGCTCCTTCCGGGTCAGAAGATGTGGCGGCCCTGGCCTCGGGTCACCGTCCCCTGCACGGGGTGCTCACAGCATCTTCCCCTCTCCTCGTTCCCAGGGTGTGCCCTTACTACCTGTCGCGGAACCTGAAGCAGCAAGCCGACATCATCTTCATGCCGTACAATTACTTGTTGGATGCCAAGGTGGGGGCTCAGTCTGCGTAGCTGACAACTCCTGATGTCCAGGGGGGTTCCTGGGCTTGGGAAAGGCCGTCCGAGCCTTTGCTGCTGCAGGGACTTAGAGCAGCAGGCCTGGGTGGGAGAACTCACCTCTGTCACTGGGCGGGGGCTCAACCTGGCCAGACACACTTGTGAGCACCCCCAGGCCCTGGGTCAGTTGTTCTGAGCAATCTGGGAGTGGGCAGGCTGGTGGGAGTGAGGAGAGGCCTCCAGGCTGTGGTCCACAGGCCAGTGCCCACTCTTGATCCTGACAGCTCAGATTCCTTCCTTCACGTCTGATCACAGGAAGCAAAGCACTGAGAACATGGGAAGCCCACTCACTCCCCTCCTCCCAGCCCCACGCTCACTCTCCCTCCATGTGCCCAGCCCCACACTCACTCCCCCCCATGCCCGGCCCC